GTCCAAGTGACTACAGTGGCTCAATTTTTACTTTATCAAACGACGAGAACACTTTTTGTGCGCAAAACCCCCCCAAAAATAACGACTTTATTTCAACTATTCATTTGCTTGTCCCTCAGCCTCGAGTCAGGTTACTAGTTTAATAGCGTAAGCTTCTGTTATTGTACGTCACACGCATCACACACGTGACCAGCGTCGGCCAATAGTGAGCCTACGTGTGACGTAGCTCTACGCTATCACACTACGTTAACTGACTAGAGGCCATAGAGAAGGAAGTGAATAGTTGAAATAAAGTGGTTATTTTTGTTGTTTTTTGCGCACAAAAATTGTTCTCGTCGTTTGATAAAGTAAAAATTGAGCCACTGTAGTCACTTGGACTATTTTACGCTATTAAACTAGTAACCTGACTCGAGGCTGAGAGACAAGCAAATGAATAGTTGAAATAAAGGGGTTATTTTTGTTGTTTTTTGCGCACAAAAATTGTTCTTGTCGTTTGATAAAGTTAAGATTGAGCCACTGTAGTCACTTGGACTATTTTAACGAGGTCTTTAATGACTTTTCGAGGCCAGCAAGTTTCAATCCCTCAAGAAGCCTATGGACTAGTATGGAGGAGTGATCCAGCTCTCAGATTTCATCAAAAATATCTTAATTTGTTTTCCGAAGATGAACGAAGGTCTTACGGGGTTGGAACAACATGAGGGTGAGTAAATACTGACAGAATTTAAATTTTTGGGTGAACTAACCCTTTAAAAAAATATATGGCCAATGTTTCGACATTTCTCAGTGTGTTCACTTTGTCCTTTTAGAGAGCACGCACATCCAGATTTGCAAACATCACAACCAAACATTTAAATATTCACTTCCCTCAGGAACTGTGTGTGTGAGTTGAGTGAAAGAATTTATGTGGGTTGATAAATGCGTATAAGGCAGCAAGACATTCAGCCCTGGGGTTCTGGTGCTGTGGTTGCAGTGGGTTTAGGAGAGAAGGACCTGTGGCTAGAATGATATAACACTTTTGAGCTCTGTTACAGAGTAAGAACACTCAATATAAACAATCTCTCCACTACACATTGAATTTAAAAACTGGTAATAAACATTATGTTGTCATACTAATTACAATAACTAGGAACTAACCCATGTACATGCATGAGATTAAAGATATAGAAACAAGTAAATTAGTGATATTGATCATTTGTACACATGGGCAGGTGTTCTTGCCTCCATTGAAACTCAAGAGTGTGTTCACACTTTGAAGATTTGGTTTCGATTAAAACAAACTCTGGTGCGATTGCTCTAGCGCGGTTCATTTGAATAAGCGAACGCTGCCATCTAGGCCTGTTGGAACGAATTCCGAAATATAATTCGAATTTAAAAAAAAAAAAATCAATACTATTCGAATGCTGAAGTTACTGTTCGAATATTGCTTTATATATATTTATTTATAATTTTTCATTTTCTTTAATATGCAATCTTGCCTTTTCGTCGGATTGGCTTAAACGCCTGTGAAAATGAAATGCCTTTGTTTCGTCTGATGAACAATAAAGTTTTAAAATCGTAACACAAGTGTGCACGTTATCCAGGGTGTATCATCATAACAGCTGTCAAAAATGGTAGCCTAAATGTTTAACGACGTAAAAAGCGCCCCCCCAAAGGGCATGTGAAGCGGAAAACGCAATACGCAAATATCTCAACGGATTCGGTGCGCATCGAGCTTGTTGGAACCGTCTAGTCGAACTGAAAAGAACGATATAAGTTTCAGAATTTTTGGAGATGTTTTCGCGGAGATATCAGCCGAAAACCATTGGAAGCGCTTAAACCATATTCAGCACGAATAAAATGTGTATTTGATGTCCTTCTTGTGGACCAAACGTGTAACAACAACCACATGCTATAGTGGCATTGGCGATCCATAAGCATGTGTAATGTCGTAAATATTAATAACAGGATACATTTTAGCATCTAATATTCAAATATTATTCGAATATCAAATAAATATAAGGAATGGAATTCGAATAGTATTATAGAGGAAGATTGACAGCCCTACTGTCATCCGAACCCTGGTGCGCACCAAGCAAGCCAACCGAGACCCCTGAAAAGGGGATCTCTGGTGCGATTCAACTGAAATAGGATACACAGCTCAGACCAAAGACATCTAAACAAAAACAAAATAGGACATGATGATGTCACTGTGATCCTAAAAAGGGCAGAATGCTCAAGGATACATGGTTCATCTCATCATACGAGTTATGTTGCTCATTACAGTTCGGTACAGGCATTAGAACTGCCACTTTCTTGCTGCAGATCTTCATTTGTGTGTGCAATAGAGGAATACAGGGAGCTTTTCACTCCTTTACACATTTTATAAGCTCTTCATGCGTTCTCAGCACGTCAAAATACCATTATATGTAGGCTACACACATACAAGTGCACTTAGCCCAGAACACAGCTTTGTTTTTGGTAAAATCTGTCAGAAAACATGTAATAAAAGCAGTTTTTTTTTCATTTAGCATCTTTAAGTTTGCTGTTAAAAAATGACCAGGACTAAAATGTTGGTCGCACTTCATATTACAGTCTTGGACTTTTGGATCAAACCAAATAAACCAAACTATAAGTGTGAACACACCCAAAGACACTTTTTTGATATTCGCAATACATCGGGACAAAAAGACATTCTTTTAGTCCATTATTTGCAGAGATGTATAGCAATGAAGTAGAACCACTTAAGTACTGTACTTAAGTAATAAAATGCTGTATCTGTACTCTACTAGAGTATTGTTTTTTTCTCATACTTCTACTTTTACTTCAGTAGATATTTTCGATGAATTTAATACTTTTACTTCGATTTTTTTTTAATGTTCTGCTAGTTACTCGTTAAAATTATAAAAATTTTACGAATCATTCGTTGCAAGTTGGCTTTCATGCTGCCTAAATCACACGCCAGTTTTATAGGGTAATGGTATTGATTGACACACATTGACAACTAATGCAGGGGTTGTCCTGCAATGACATTTTTTGGCGGCCGCCAAAGCAAATTTGTAACCCGCCAAAGCGCCTTATTTGATTGCTAGTTCAAACTTTTGACTGCTTTCTTCAATAATTACACGACAAAATACTTGTACTTTTACTACTTAAGTAGTGAATTTTAAAATAAACTACTTGCAATACTTACAAAAAATGTTGAATACTTTAGTACTTATACTTAAGTGTGGTGCTTAAAGAGCACTTCAACTTCCACTCAAGTTACTTTTGTGATAGAGCACTTGTACTTTTACTCAAGTCCGGGTTTCTAGTACTTTATAGATCTCTGATTATTTGTAACAATAAAAAAAATAAATAAACTGAATTTTAAAACAAATTCAATATGGATGCATTTTCACTGATGGTCTAGTGCACAACAGGCACTTTTGGACTGTATGCCTACATAGTTTGCTTTCCATTATATGTACACATAAAACTTCCTAAATCGATGTGATCTGCCTTCAGTTTCCCAAATTATATTTCATGTTTGGATTTGTAAGCAGTACTCAGCATTGTGTCGATAAAAGTTGAGCGTTTGATTGGAATCACAATCACAGTTCCAGTTCCCTTCCAGTTAAACGAGCTGACCTCGCTGCTGTTTCACCCAGTGATTCTTCACTTTGCTGTTCACTGTGATCAGGCGGAACTTGTGAGATGTGGTGACCATGGTAACGAGTGTGGTAGTGTGGTTATTGTTCAAATGTGAAATATACTGCTGCAATAATATCACACTGAGCAGAGTGCCCTGAAACCCCTCAACCACACCTGCACAAACCACCAGAGATCTAGTCAACTTCAATGAAAACCCTAGTCATTCTGACAAGAGCAACAGCTGCATGGGCATCTCAGAGGACACCATTCCAAATTTGAGCTCACTCTTACAGGAATAGAATTACAAAACCTATTAGAAATGGAATTACATCAAATAAAATTAACTAAAAAAACACCAGTCGACCAGCCAAAAAAAGAACCAGTAGGTTTTTAGTTTTGTTTTGGCTCAAACTTGCACACAAACTGCGCTGCAATTATTTCCTAAAATGTAATTTGTGAGGAAATATTACAACATATGCTCGAAATATAGTAATAAAAATCTAGCGATGCTCAAAAAACTGGTAGAAAAATGTAAATATTGAATTGGGGGTTTAAATGAATGTATCTCTGAACTGTCTTCAGAAATGTTTTGATGGCATTTCCTTTTCTCTTATCTCAGTATAAAGTAGTGTTTATAAGCACAGCGCTGCTTCGTTCACTGCGGTACTTAAAGAAATCACTGCTGTATAACAGTTTGCCAGTTATACAGCAAATAAAGAACAAATAAATTTGCTCAAAAAAAAAAAAAAAAAAAAACGGCAACCGGTTTCGGTAAATTAGCTTGTAAAGAAATTGGAATCGGGCCATGAAAAATCACGATTGTTGACAAACTGATTTGTTAAAAAAATTAGCACTCCCTATTCACAAATAAGTGACCATAGTTTCTGCTAAAATACCACAGTTACAGTACAGGTGTTAGTACTGTAAAATCATAAAAAAAATTCATATGTATCTCCATCAAACAGCATTTCTATCATTATTTAATGTCTTTTCATGCTGACAGAATTTAAACTTTTTCTGTTTTCCCAATAAAAGAAAATAAATTACAAAACTTAACATAAGTTACAAAACTTAGTGAGGTTTATGCTTAAAACACTCACAAAAAAAAAACAACCTTTGAAGAAAGAAAAATAAACGTAATTAAATATATTTTCTCCAAAAAAAAAAAAACTATTATCTTACAAAATTTGGCTTGGTAAATATTTCAAGGCTGTTTATATATTTACTTGAAAAATTCTGAATAATAAACAGATTTTTGCAGTGCACAGTTTTACTGTTGTAAGAGTAATTGGAGTAACCATGGTACTCTTACGGAAAATATGGTCATCATTGTAAATTGTTGTGAGGGTCATGGACATTAAAACATATAATTAAAATTTAAGAATACGCACCAAACTGTCCAGACCACCCCCAAGGAGATCCACAGCGCCCATCTGCATGGAAGACACCTGGGGCACGTTGACGGGAGGCCCGAGGTCCAGATTAAGCAGGTCTCCCAAAAGGTCACCCTGAGATGGAATAACCTGGGGTTGGTCGATGGAAGCAGCTTGGCCAGTACTGACTGGACTCTCCCCGGTGTCGATACTGCAAAAGAATGATGACATTACAACACTAAGTGAATCTAAGTGAACAAAAGGATGGGACCGACAAGCCCTTTTTTCATTGTTTGATGGAGAGTACAACGTAGGTTCTGTGTGGCACTACTTACGAAGAGTCCCCCATTGTATTACTGGACTGAGACTGATTCAGAGAAAAACAAATAACAGGAATGCCAGACCTTTTGGCCAAGGACTTAACATGACTTTGTGATTTTGAGTTGTGATTATTAGATTAAGGGCCCTATTTACTAAACAGGGAAAAGAAGAGGGACCGCAATCCCATAAAAGCGCAGATGGGAGTGGAAAGTTCTGTGGGTGATCTACTGACAATGCACACATTAAAGAACGCAGACGCAGCAGCTCATTTACATTATGACAAACGCAAGAGCAGTGCAAATCAGCAAAAACTATCTTGACAAATGATACGTCTAGATAGCATCTTCCTCTGGCTTTCCAAATAAATAAACAAACACAAATACAACGAGTGGTGAAAATTCTCTCCAGTTCTACCACACACTCTCAGTTCTTTGCGGTTTCTCCTCCAACAGCAACTATCCAAGCCATGTCTGGCACTAAATGCTTTTTTTAGGTGGTAAATTGTCTTAGCTTCAGACATCACGCCCACAGACCATTAGCTGAAAGTCTGATGCATAAAGTGCAGAAAATGGGCAACACTTAGGGAGTTTCGGGGATTTTAGAGAGACATCAGCAAAACCCTGCATTTTCAAAAGCATGTGAAGTTCGAGGCACCAGTGTCGCAGTAAACTTAAATCTTAAATGAGTAATTTATTAAATGTACAACAGTCTGTTATCATAAGAACACAGACTTTACGTTTTCATGCCCTTAAAGGTGCCATCTGTAAGAATTGAGGTTAAAATATCCCAAAAAAAGGAGCTACACGCATCAAAAGAATGAGAAGAAATAAGGTTGATGATGTCATTAAAAAAATAACAAGTTATAGTGCTGCCGAGATATTAACCTGAATTAGCATGCTAAATTACTAGCCCCGGCCTGGCAGGTGTCGTAATACCAGTTTCGGCCATGGGAGGCGGTATGCGGGCGGGCAACATAACCACCAGCCAAACTGCAATAGACGCGTAACTCGCGAGGCTTGTGTGTGTACTTGAACCTGATGTCAACCGTGTGGAAATACAGCCCACTACTACATTTCAGTTCAGGAAAGAGTTCAAAAAATTATTGGTGGATATTATGCTTGAGGAATAGATTTTGTTAAGTTGTAGCATACGTTATCTTTCAACAGTGTTCGTGTTCTTTTACCATTAGATAGTAGAGATGATCGGTTTGCGTGCGCTAGGGATCTGTCACACTCAAAAAAATTATTACTTTGTTCAATTTCATTAATTAAAATGAGCATATACGACACAATCCTTCATAGAAGTGATTCCAGCTTCATTTCATTAAATGTAATCAAAGTAATCTTTTAAAAAATTGGTTTACCAAATTTTTTTTAACTGAGTCAACATGAATATTTTTTGTTCGTCTTAAACGGATGTCACTCAAAAAAATTATTTTGGCCTCTTGTTAAAATAATTAATTAAAATAAGCAAAAGTAACATGATTGTTTAATATTGTGACAACTTAATTTATTTGTGTTCAATCAACCTAATTCAATTCACCTAATTCAGACAAAACTAAATGTAGTTAACCTGACAAAAATTTATCTAGTAGGAATGACTAAATTAATTTAAATTAATACAACAAGATTACAACAAATTATTTCAAACTAATTTGAATTTGTTGGAAAAATGTAATTCAATTTCGTGGAAAACCTTTCCTTAATTGAATTAAGTTCGTTCAACTGATTATTTTTCATTTACAATCGCCAAAACGGTATTTATTGTTTGAATTGTGTAATAAAATTGACAGAATCTGAGAGCTGAGATTTTTTTATTTATCATAACTAACCTGCTCCGTCTAGTCTGTCGGTCTCTTTGCGTGACAAAATTGCGTGAGAAAAGTGTCATTTGTGTGTCTCAGGGTGAATTCGTGAGAGTTGGCAGCTCTGAATGGCGCTAGCTTGGTCAACATCAGTGAATGCTGTCTGTCAAATTAATTCAAACTAACAATAAAAATGTAATACGAACAAAACAAATACCGTAAAACTTTATTCGTTTTACGGTATTTAGAAATAGACGTATTGCGCTTGTGCAATCTGTTATTAAATCTGCCCCAAAGATTTTTATAAACCATATTAAAGACCTCACACTTACAATTTCTAGACAGCCAATGAAACATTCAAGAGTTTTAGCTAGATTTTGTTTTAGCCGTCTTAGCCGTACCTGCCGTGCTGGATGGGCAGATGTTTACGGTGAATGCCGTGGCTTCCTTCCACAAAGGCAGTGGGGGGTTTGTGGTAGACGGAGGCCAGCGAGCCGATGTGGCAGATGAGCTCGTCCAACAGGGTGGGCTCAATCAGGTCCGTCTCCTCGGAGATCAGAGGCTTCTCAGACAGCACAACCTCTTTAGCGGTCACGGGGTCGGTGGACAGCAGACGCCAGTAGATGTAGCCACGATCACGCAAGTCAGGGTTATCAGAGTCCTGAGGTGGAGAATGTTTGAATAAACAGTTGTGAAATAAATTGCACGTGTATTAGTTAGGGTTGTCAACTTCAGTCGTTTAGTCGACTAATCGGTCGATGCCGTCTTGGTCGACTGACATTCTTATTGGTCGACCAGTTGCATTTTTTTTTTACCAATAGAAAGACATTTTCATTGATTAATGCTGCGTTCATGTGCTATGGTAATTATGGGAAATACTAAAAGCCGACGTGGAAAATGCACATGAACACCCCCTCATGTGGTATTTTCTACTGGGCAACTCGTAGAATATTTTGATGGACGAGTTGCCGAGATGAGATAACCTTTGACCATTTCAAAATGGCGGAGAGCACCGCAAGAGTCGAGAATGGTAAAAATATATACTATACATGATCTAGAAAATATATTGCCATATTATTTACCTTTTGAGTTTTGATAAATAATTTTCTTGCTGTAGCAGATGACTTAAGCAATCTAAAATACTTTTAGCTAAATAACAGGTCTGGATCTCCATCTTTTTACCACATTACGACAACAAAAGCACTTGAACGCAACACACTGGTAAATACCGGGCTATTTAGGTTTTTTGTGTGTTCGTTTTAAAAGGCCTAGATCGGCTGGACGAAACCCATAGCTTTGAAAGAAAAGAAGAATATAAATCCTCTATAAACGAGAGCTTTTGTTAGGATTTTTTATTATTTGGCAATTTCAGCAGTTTTATTTTTTATATACTTTCAAAGAATTGTATTATTATTATAATTTTGTATGTATTATTGATGTTTTCTCGTTGTTGTTGTTTTACAAATGCTCTATGACAATTGTTTAAAAAATATTCAATCAAAACATCGCGTCTTTTTTTTTTTTGTCGACTGATCGTTGCGCAGGACAATACTTTGGTTGACTAAGGATTTCTTTGGTTGACTACAGCCTTAGTATTAGTATATTTAAATCCATGCATTCAGTCTTAAAGTGACAGCAGCATCATATTCCTGCTGCCGTTTGTTTCATTAATGTTAATCAAACAACCAAAGACAAAGAGAAAATTACTCATTACTCTTTAGTAGATTTACTAGGATTAATCTACATTTAATTTATACAGTCAAAACTATGCAGTGTTGTTTTACATTAGATCACTTTCTGTCTGAATTCATTTGCATTATTTATTTCACAGGATTGCTGTATTTGTTCATCACTAAGCTGTCCCTAACCAACTCTAAGAGAGGAAATGGAATATGTTGCACATTGTTTTATACTTAAAATACATTGTTAAAAATAGTGTTATTTATTTCGTTTATCTGTATCAGTGATCATATCGGACAATACCGCTTGCAGTGATAGATATTCGGCCCAAAAGTCCTGATTGAAGCACACTTAATTGTAGAGTAACACTATTGTTTATAATGCCCAAGCACATCTCACCTGAGTGGCCAGACTGAGCACTTGCTGAACCAGCTCTTGAGTCTCTGAAGGCTTCTTCAGGAACAGCTTCACAATGGCTGTCAGGAGAGTCAACTGGACCTGAAAGCAACAATGCAGTGGATACCTTAATAAGTCCCTTCTTTTAAAGAAACTATTTACTATGAAAAAAAACACACACAAATTGACCTGGGAGGTATTCCAGAAAGCAAGCCTAACTTATCATCACATATACTCTCGGATGATTAACCCATGAGTTCAGCCAAACCGTGTTATGTTTCACATCGCAAGCATCAACGGAGCATGAGCAACACGAGTTATGTTGCCGCCCATATCAATGAATGAGAGCAATTCACATCAGAATGGAAGCGTGACGGCCGACCCTCTCATTCATTAACATTGGAAGCGATAAATTACGCGCTGTTCGGTGTTCACACTCTGCTGACCCCTGGATGTTTAAATTGAGATCTTTTAATGATTAATTGTGCAGCTCTAATATACTATATATAATATATAACATAATATTTTGCGCAATCTGTCACACCCACTGGAGCCTAATCAATAGGGCACGTATGCGCTGAATAACTTTGACGTAATCTAACCATGGAATATAACCTGCTCCGGTAATGTTCAGAGTGGCTACTTACCCTTTATCCCCTTAAGTGTCACCCCCCCCCCCCCCTTTTTTGAAAATAGATGAAAATGCACATTTCGAACTTAAATGGTTGTAATTCAAGAATGCTCTGGAATATAGACGTAAGATTGGTCTCGTTTTAAAGAAGACATTTGGCAGATTTTTGTAGAAGTGAAATAAATTAAGAATTTAAAACAGAAGTTAAAGTTATTTTCAAAACCTGGGCAACTCTAAAACTGCAAAAAAAAAAAAAAAAAAGAAGCCAAAAATCTGAATAAGTTGTGTTTCAAATATTAGGTTGATATCTCAAAAAATTAGCTTTCAGTGAGATTTTGTTTGGGCGCAGTACCAAACTTTTTCACCAGGGCACAACCAGACTCCATTACTGCCCATATAAGGGCGCCTCCATTTCCATATGAAATAATAATTATTATAATTATAAAATAATTGAATGGAGGCTTTCTTTTGAACTCTTGGCATGAAAACAAACAGGTTTCTACCCTTCTTTCATGATTTTTCATGTTCATCACAATTTCAAAATAAAGGTCTAAACACGCCTTAAAGTATGAAAATATTCTTGTTGCAAATTGATAAATTACGGCTCCTCTGTAATATATTTTTATATAAATCACCAAATATGAAAACTAGAGATTCTAAGCTTTCAAATGATATATAGTTTGTCAAGATTAGTTTAGGTTTAGTATACGATAATACTGTTTTAAAAAATGTAATGGATTTGGGCCCACCGGTGACACTAAAGGGGTTAAGTTACCTCAGGTTTTGGAGCCGAAAGTTGGTTATACGCTTACTCGGAGTAAACCCGGTTATGTCACATAACCTGCTTTCTGGAAAACACCCAATCTAAAACAATAACAATGACAAACCTGAGTGCTTTCATCATGGAAGCCCTCAAGGAAACTCTCCAGGAGCTCATCAGCATTGTCGATACGCTCTGCATATTCGCCCACAATCCAGATCATGGCTGCTCGAGCGTCGGGCTCATCCAGAGAGTCCAGGTTTTCACACAGAGTGGCAATTATGCTTTCATATCTGTGCATAAAACAGAGCTGAATCAGCAGGCAATTAATTGCATGCTCTTTTTTTAAGACAAAATCATATTCTCTGTTCCAAAACCCAGCGAGTTAGCATTGTAAGGATCACGCCTGGGCTGAGATACCTCATTTAAGTCTAATTCTAAGGCATGTATACTTTACAGAAAAGACAATCCCAGAATGCATTGTGACAAACTCATGGAAAAAAAAAATCAAATCAATGTATTGGAGTGGAGGGGACAAGAAAACTGTGATGTCATTCAGTATTGAAAAGTATCAATAAAAATAGCTCAGATGAGAGTTATGAACTGACTTGTTGGGGTATTTGCGGAAGATGTCCCTGATGACCACAATGGCCTCTTGCACAACATAATTGACTTTGGTCTGGATGAGGTCCAGCAGGGTGCTAACACAACGCTCAGCTGATTGCTGTACACACAGATATAAGAGAAAACTCATCAAGGCACTACAGCTCGTTCAACACATATACAACAAAAAAAAAATCAATAAAGGTTTCTTATGCTTGATGTTAAGTGATAAATCTTTGCTATTTAGCTTGTTTTTTGATTAGACAATTCTATAGGCAAGACTTACCTCCACTTTGATGGCACAACGGCCGATGGCCCGAACGGCTTTCCGAACAAAATCTACATCCACCTCGGTGGCATACTCCTTCAGTTCAGCCAAGACCTACAGAATTCAACATCATTTTAGTAGATTTCTAAAGAAACAGACTGTGATACGCTGAATGACCTCCACAAGTGAAAGAACGGGTAATCGGTAACTCACGAGGTAATAAGCTGTGAGAAGAGTCTAATAGTATCATCTAACAAACAGAGATATTTACGGGGGGAAATGCTAAATGACATGATATATGTAAATGAAAAATATAACAAAGATGGAGTGTATTACAACGCAATGCAACAAAGTAATTTCTTGTCAGATGGAGTGTAATCAAAGCTGTCATTTTATCCCAGGCAGCTCAATTACCTTAAGTATGGGTTTCAGTTAAAAAAACAGTTACCAAATAGAAAGTGTAAGAGACCATGTTCCCTGTAAGCACAGTTGTAAGCAATATGTAATTAGATGGACAAATCGACAATGTGTTATAATGTGTTATCTTTGCAACCTCGTACTTAAATGACTAAATCAAATTGCAGCCCATTCGGACATCAATTAATATTAGTGTTATATAACATTCAGCAGAACGTGTAATTTTTCATTTGAAGAAAAGTGCCATTTGGCTAAATTTTTTTGCTATCTATCATCACAGGATATTTAGGACTGTATAAATCTATGAAAGAGAGTGTGATCTCTACATTTACATGTGACAGGGAAAATAAAGATGCAATTAATTCAGCTTGAATTAAAGTTGCAGAATAATCTACATTATATGAACTTTTAAAGCCCCGGATAAACTGAATTCCTCTGCCTACTAATATAATGAGAAGCACTGACAACAAGTTGTGTTTCTGACTGTAACCGATAATATTGATGTGCTACACTGTTTTCTTGTTGAATACCCTGTTCTCAGAAACATCATGCAAGTAAAACATATTAACTTGAAAAGCTAAGAGTTAAACATCTTTTGAAATACCTGGGCAATGTTGGCATGAGAGGCCAGGCGGATCATAATGTCCAGTTTCTCCAGCTTGACGTAGATGGGGTCATTGTACTTGACGAAGAACACTTTGATCTCTTGCTTCAAGATCTCAGGCCTACAGGTAGAGAGAGATCACAGTCTTATTCTCAGTCAAAACATCCAGAATTACCAAGCAAACAGACAATACTGCCATCTAGTGACTGCATTCAGTCATCTACGGTGATTAGCATATTAAAAACTCTTAAACGAGTTCCACAGAAAACAAAAAGCACGGACAAATTAGGACAGCAATCTAACCGTTTTTGCACGATAAGGTTAATGTTCCTGAGGGCCACATATTGGACCTCTGGTTCCCCAGACAACAGCGTAACAAGGGGAGGAGAGAGCTTCTTCAGAAGAGTGTTGTAGTAATCCGAGTCTTTGGGCAGGAGCTCCAGAAACTTCATCAGCACCTTCACCGCCGACAGCACCACAGCCGAGTTAGCATGAGAGAGTCGTGGAGTCACACGCTCACAGATACTAAAAGAGACAGGAAGTGGGAGTTATGGTTAAGAGTGTTTTCATCTGTATTAATCCTGGTTTTTCAATTTTGTATTTTGGAATAGGTTGATTATAAAATTTGTCATTAACAATTTAAATCTTCTCTGTAACGTTAGTATGTTTTTCTTAGTGGGCAACACACATTAAAGGAGTAGTTCACTTTTGAAAAAAACTTTTGCTGATAATTTGCTCACCCCCATGTCATCCAAGATGTCCATGTCTTTCTTTCTTCAGTCGAAAAGACTTCAAACTGCAAACTGTTCAAAGGGCTTTAAACGATTCCAGACGATGAATAAGGGTCTTATCAAGCGAAATGATCGCTCATTTAATAAATAAATAACAAAGTTTAAGTTTTATAAGCTCAAATGCTCGCCTTGCTCTGTAATGTGGCGCACGTTTGTGACTCTCCTGTTCGGACTTGTTCATCAAAATGAATTAATCTTTTTCCGAGTCATTTGGTTCATTCAACGAATGAATTGACTCGAATCGAATTCATCAATTGATGAATTGAAAAGATTCGTTCATTTTGATGAATGAGTTCGAGCAGGAGAGTCACAAACGCGCATCACAGAACAGAACAAGGCGAGCATTTGAGCTTATAAAACTTAAACTTTGTTATTTATTAAATGAGTGATCGTTTCGCTTGATAAGATGCTTATTCATCATCTGGAATCGCTTATAGCCCTTTGAACAGTTTGCAGTTTGCACTGAAATTGTCTTTTGGACCTTGAACCGTTTGGTTCCCACTGAAGTCCATTATATGGAGAAAAATCCTGGAATGTTTTCATCAAAAACCTTAATTTCTTTTCGACTGAAGAAAGAAAGACATGGATATCTTGGATGACATGGGGGTGAGTAAATTATCGGCAAAAGTTTTTTCAAAAGTGAACTACTCCTTTAAAAGTAATATCAAGTGTTGAGTCCATCAAGGTTCTGTCATGAGACCTTCTTAATTCAGTCTTCATGTTACTTTCATTTGATATGATCAGAAATCACATATTTTATTCCTCCACTGGCAATAGAACAATTGCACATTTCACAAAGCTATTTCAGGCATACTGACTACTAAAAACGGAAAGGTTTTTATTTGCGTTTTTCGCGTACAGACGACAATGCTGTCAAAACGATCCCCGTTCACACGGAATCGCCAAAACGACTAAAACCACTGTATTATACATTCTAGGCCAGTAGTTGGCAATGTCACTGGTTTAATAAATTAATTTTTTTATGTAGTTTACATGGAGACACGACACGGATAACAGTATCTTTTTCAAAACTGTGCATTCTAAAACTAGTTTGCATTTTCAGGCCCCCAAAACTCTATTGTTGTGTAAATGAACAGCCAAAACATATAAAAGGTTTTCTATTTTTAGTTGACAATGGTGTCGTTTAAACGGCCCCTAAATCAAACGCTGCATTAAAAAAAACTAATCTGGAAAGACCTTGATTTGAATTTCTCCTTTTTAATCTTCCTATTTAATCTATGCACCAATTCATATTTCATAAGAACTTTGTATGGCTTGTATTGCACTATTATGCATGCTGCTATTTAAATTACATATGAATTCTATAAATGGAATCAAAGAGGTGTTAGACCTAAATAGAAAAAGCAAGTCTCCATTTCCACTCAGAGGTTTATCCACCCACAAATCTGTTTATCTCCTAATAACAGTCTGAAAAGGAAAATTAATACCATGTGAATAAAACGTCACATATGATCTTAAAATTGAGGAAATGAAACTCTAAAGTAGTACTGATTCATTTATTTGCTGTTCTATTCTAAACCTTAAAAAAAATAATAATGTTATAGTAGTCCTGGTGGTGTATATAATTCCTCATTTTTTAATAATTTATTCAACTGTTTACGTTCACTAAAGACATAAATGACTGTTTACCTGCAAATGCATGGTCACTTTGACACATAGGAATGTGCATTTAACCGTTCAAGCCCAAATAAGTAACGGAACAAGATTATAGTGCCTTTAGTGTTTAAAACAAAAGATAAAATAATATGTATATCTTATATTTATGTAAGTTGTGTGTGCTGCCGCGGAATAACACTGACAACTACAAGTCATCTCTATACAGATTAGCTAACTTACGGGCTTCTAGAAACGCCCCTGCGCAAAGCACATCATCGTCACATGAGGTTAACCGGGATAGACACGATAGTCCAGAATCAAATTTGTACCGGTTAATCGTGTCTACCGGTATATCGCCCACCTCTAATTATTATTATATTTTTCTTAAATTTACATTTTTTTATTTTACAGTGAAGTGTTACAATAGTACTTTTGTATTTTTTTTTTTCATTTTAGTAATAACAAATATTATTATTATAATTATTATCTTATAGTCAAATTGACTGGCTATATAACCACACCATTTTGGCCAAATTTTGCAGCCATCCAAATAAATCTTAATATTTTTGGAAACTGAATTCACTCTCCTTAATCTCGCACACCTGTAGAGATAAAGAAACCTATGAGGATCATTATTCCCTCACCTCTGGGCCTCACGCTCATCTTTGGGGTTGTAGTTGGAGAGACAGTCCAGAATGAAGATCTGGCCCCACTCGGTGCACTCGTTGAGGGCCGTCAGGAGCTTATTGATGTTTTGGGGATTCAGGTCCAGGAGGTTGCTGTTGGGGTGAGACTCGCTGATCTCAGACAGCGCAGCCACTGCATTTGCCACAACCTGCGAGATATTCAGATATTAGTAAAGTACTGTGATGTGAATGTGGAGGTATGCAATGTATATTCTCTACAATAATATCGTGACTGTTGTTTTAACAATGTGCAATTTGACATTATTGAGTAGGTTCCTCATTTTACAAAAACAAAACTACAGAGTTCACGCATTCACTATGGGATGTAGTGTAGTAGGTAAGATTAAGTGCACTTGCACATTTAGAGTGCACGCTTTCACTATATTTTCTCTATAAATTATATGTCTTTATGTTTAGAATGCACCAAATATTCAACATAAGGGTCAAAAATACCTCTGTATGTCTTATATATTTATATAATTTAATATAGTTCATTAATATCACCCTCCAAATATCAGCATGATTACAAACAGTATTTTGATTTTATACAGCAAATAATAAACAAGAACAATAAACAAGAAGGAATAAAGAACCTTGAATAGTTCACTTAAAAATGAAAATGATGTCACTACTGGCAGTTTTAATTTCCCATTTAAAGTTTCAAATTATCAATATTCAACGTTTTTAAAACATTTATGAATTTACTGCAGTTTAAATGCATCCATGTCCCTCTGAGCTGCAATAAACAGTCTATGTAAATATATCTGTGTCACTTCAGAGTAGCGTTGCCAACTGTCCCATATTAGCCTGGATGTCCCGAATATGGAGCCTAATTTATTTGTCCCGTACATGACCTCCCTTGTCCTGTTTATTGACTGCTATGCTGATCTAACCATTGACTAATACAACAGCAACACGACACTTCATCATCCAATCACAGTCCACCCTCACGCCCATCTGACCATACGCATAACAAACTCTAAATTGAGAATTAATCATTCTTTTAGGACAAATCTTTGGGAAAAATGATTTCTGATTATTATTTTTAATGTTTAAAAAAAAGACAGGATTATTTGATGAATATAAATTTCAAAGCACATTTATCTGAAATAGAAAGCTTTAGTAACATTAAAAATGTCTTTACTGTCACTTTTGATTAATTTAATGCATCTTTGCTGAATAAATGTAGGCTATTACTCGCTTTGATTTCATTTTTTTTTTTTTTTTTGAATTCTTACTGACTCCAAACTTTTGAACTGTAGTGTATAATGTTACAAAAGCTTTCTGTATCAGATAAATGCTATAAATCTGAACGATGGTTTGTGTGTAATGTGACATTTTTTTTGCAATGTCACATTTTAGAACTAAATTGTGCATAAATAGGTTTAGCAAAACAAATGTGTTTATGTCTGAGAACCTTTAATTCACATACTAATTCATTGTGCTGGATCACATGTGTGATCCAGCACAAATGTTTTGGGTGTCTCTTATTTTCCTAATTAAAAACCACGATTGTCCAGTATTTTCCTGTTCTTAATTTGGCAACCGTACTTCAGAGGCAACTTTTGTGTTTCCTCTGCAGTGTAAAGATGAATTTCGTTGATACTGATTTCATTTGATTGGTAGCAGCCCTACTGTCTTATTATTTTAACTGAATTTATTGATTAAATACAGAATTTGACACAAACAATGATGCATACATTTAAATAGGTTAGAAAATGGCTTTATAAACGTAAAAAAATCTATTTAAACTTATTGGAAACTATAATTTCTGTCACTGCTGTGAGTGTAAACAGACCACCACAGAGAATATGAAAAATATAAGCTGTTCACGGCAGTCCTAAACCTGCCAAAGGTATCAAAACAATAACACACGAAGCAAAATATCGTCTAATTATCATTATCTATTCCCAATATCGCACACCCGTACATGCATTCTGTGAAATTAGATCAAAAGTGTCTAACCATGGGGTTGGAGTCAGCGATCAGGTCCCTGAGAGAATCCAGGAAGCCCTGGTCCTCCACCATCTGAGCGTTGATGTCATGAAGTTTGGCCACACACACTGCGGCGGTCTTCCTCACATAGGGGTCTTCATCCTTCAGACACTTTCGCAGAGGCTCGCACAAGTACTCAGTGATCTTATCCACACGAATACAGCCCATCGTACGCACAGCCAGAGCTCGGATCAGTGGGTTCGGATCCTCGCAGTCCTAAAAAGGGAAAGAACGACTTCAGACAATGTGGTGGAATTTCATAAACACTGATATCAGATCGATCCAAAAGTCCTACCTTCACAAAGCTGTTGACGGCCATGATGGCCATGTCAGGTTGGCTCTTGGCGTAGTTCATAAGGTACAAGTAAACCAGTTTCTTCAGCTCCAGGTTATCGGTCTGCATGCAGTTTACCACATCTGGAAACAAGGAACTAAAGAAGCAGAGAAAAGATATTAGCTTAATTCATAATGCGGGAAGTGAGAGTCCATCTTTGATTGTGCAATGGTGATAAATGAGCCGAAGCACCTGACATCCTTGCCCACTGTCATGGCTGCAATGACTTTTTTCACTGCCTCTTTCCTCTTCTCCTTCTTCTCATTGTTTAGCTCAGCCTTTAGCTCAAAGATTTCACCTGAAACAGAGAGAAACATGATTAGTGGTCATCTTATCTGAGGTTTTCAAAGGCTGAGGCATCAAAATGAACAAATCTTTTTTCCGAGTCGTTTGGTTCATTCAACGAACAAAACGAACAAATTGACTCAGAAAAAGATTTGTTCATTTTGATGAACGGGTTCGAACAGGAAAGTCACAAGTGTGCTTCAGAGAATTTGAGCATTTGAGCTTATAAAACTTAAACTTTGTTATTTATTTATTAAATGAGGAAATCTGTTTCGCTTGATAAGACCCTTATTCATTGTCTGGAATCGTTTAAAGCCCTTTGAACAGTTTGCAGTTTGCACTGAAACTGTCTTTTGGACCTTGAACCGTTTGGTTACCAGTAAAGTGCATTATATGGAGAAAAATGCTGGAATGTTTTCATCAAAAACCTTCATTTCTTTTCGACTGAAGAAAGAATGACATGGACATCTTGGATGACATGAGGGTGAGTAAATTATCACTTTAAAGTGAACTTAAATTAAAGTGAACTACTCCTTTAAACACTAATTGTTCGTAATTCGTGTTTTGTCTACATGTCAAGAAGAGGCTGTTTTCTGTGCTACGAAAACCAAATCCACTTTGCATGCACTTCCATGATGAGGGCACGAATTGATATGGTAAAACCAATGCCATTGTTACTGTTCGTATCACTGTGCTGAGGAAGCCTCAGAAGCAGAAATTCATATTTGATAATGGACGTTTTATTTCTGACACAAAATGTACGAAGTAGACCAATCACAAAAGACTGGGCCATCCGACCAATCAGAGCAGAGTAGGCTTTCAAAAAAGAAGGGCTTCAGAGAGACCGAATCCTTGATCTAACCATTTCAGACACTGTGAGAAAATAAGTGATGCTGCAATGTATATTATGTGTTTTTTTGACATTGGATGCATGTAAACCTATTTTAGGAGACCTCCAAAAAAAATCAGAACCTTTAAAACGCCACTATTACTTTACATACTAGTATATTTAGTCAGAATGAGCTCAAAAAAATTTGATTAATGTTTAATCGCGATTAATCATTTGACAGCCCTATTTTCTATAAACTACAGAATACATGTAGGACTGATTTGATCCAAGCCTTCTAGTATTTTTAATGTTCTGGAACTGCAAAAGTAGGCATTAATAATGTATGTTCTTGCTTCATAATTATTATGGAATCACTGGAATTATTACAGTAACAGTTTAAGTAAAGATTTATAATATATCATTATTTGGAGGGTTCATCAAAAAGTAAGTTCTGCTGTTTTCTATACATAAAATGCAGGAAATTGAGGGCAATCACTGGCATTTGAGTTCAGTTGCAATTTTGCTTGGTCCATAGTAAAAAAAAAAAAAAAAAAACAGGATTTGAATCTGGTCCTCATGCATAGCATACTACAAAATTACACCACTAGACTATATAATGCCTCGCAATCTTACATCTATAACACATTTATATATCTTTGATAAAATTGTTTTGGGGGGTTTAAAATAATTTCATTTTAAATCATTTGACCATCCCATAACCTGAAATTAACATATTTAAGCAGATTTTCAAAGTACTTGCCTTTTTTGTTGGTGGTAAAATACTTGGAGTCAGTCATTCTGACAGCTTCTCAAATCTGAAGAGAATGGGAATCAATTCAACATTTAAACCTTTCAACAATGCATAAAATCAACAAAAATATAATCTCAAAGATATATATATCTTTGAGATTATATTTGAGACAAATTTGAAACATGTCTGCTATTCCCATTTTTCACAGGAAATCATCAGGAACAGTTATGTAGACCATTTGCTACATCAACAAACAACAACACAGTAACATAACCACAGTAACAAGACGTTACATAATAAAACATATATGTCAGAAATAACATTTGCAGCTGCACCTCACAACTCTAATGAATGTTAAGTTTATTAATTGGGCGTGACCCAAAATGATCTAGCTATGCTAAGCTAGTAAAAACCTTAAAGCAATATTTCGACTCAAATACAGGCATCTGCCCTGTCTAAATTAGATGGCAAACAATTGATGAAAACACAAAAATATATACGCACAAAGGGATGTAAGAATCGAAGCGATTAATATTTGGTTATTTAGGGGCTCTTCCCGGCGGGGAGATGATGGAAGATGCGGTTTCTGCCACAGCTTGGTCGGACGCTGGAAGATGGAGCGCACCCGGAAAAACAAAATGAAGAGCGGAACCAACAAACAAGAAGCATGTGTGAGATCGGAGCTACACAGACGTTACACCAACCATCACTGGAGAACTTTCCCTGTGGACCTTTCCATACTTTCTTTTACTGTCTTTGGTTGAGATCATAGACAGTAAAAGAAAGTTTGGACTATGGATTTTATACAAACCAGACGAGTTTAATATTATCAGTTCACATTCTGCAGGAGATAATATCAAATTAAATGTTATTTGTCTCACATGACCCCCAAATCCTTTGAAAATACCTCTCATGTCCTTTTTAGTTACATTTTTGTTTAATTTCGTAATATGAACATGTTTATAAGAGAACATCATAAGTTTGATTGGATTGTATGCCAATATGCTTGTGCTTGAATCTTCTTCACTAAGAAAATGTTCAGATTTGTTCACATAGAATTGGATTTGTGAAAACTTTCACCAGTTTATTTCGCTCTTTCAAGAGTCCTAATACATGCATATACTGTAAAATAATAGTAATTTATAAAAGGCTTATAATTTATAAAAATGACCCCCTTTAAGTCACATTTGGTTCAAACAATAATATTGAAAATATTTCACAGCTCAGAGGGAGGCTGGCCATCAAAGGAATGTCTATATGTATGGAGACAAAAGATTGTTTTTTTGAGGCTAATTGCTGTCTAAACAGTCAGCCATCAAATACCGTATTTGTGTATGTATGGAGACAAAAGAATGTTTTTGAGACTGATTGCTGTCTCTTGACTGACCATTAGAGTATCTGTTTATGTATGGAGATCAAAATATTGTTTTTTGGGGGCAGTAAATAAGTGATTGAATGATATCACTGAAACTTGTATTCACGGTTTGATGCCATTTATTTAATGCATTTTAATGCTATTACATAAAAAAAACATTTAACACCATGCAATAGTGTGGTTATTTATAGCTCTCAGATATTCATGTTACAAAGTGGTATCTTGAACTCCATGGCAGATTTTGGAAATGTCTCTAGTCACAAAAAATAAATAAATAAAAAATAAAAATTCTTGAAGGAACCTCATTTTTTTGCTATCAAAATTTTGAAACTTTGGCCTTGTAGCTGTGTTCCACTACGTGTCTCAGGCACATTATTATTATTTAAATAATAAATTATTTTCAGCAACAACAACAAAAGCATTTTCATTCCAATATTGCTCACAGATTCTGAATCTTCCAAATTAAAGCTCAGAATGTTTTATTAATTTTAATTACCCCACAACTGCAAAAACACCAACCGTTTCATGAAAGTTCAGGAATGGCATTTTCATGGTTCGAGATCAAAGAAGGGGCGTAATAAGGCCCGCCTAAAAGCCTCAACAAGACAGCTTCCGTTTGAGAAGCACCCACTGAAACATTTAAAAACCCCGATTTATGTTTATTCCAGTGCGAAACAGCTTTGTGCTCAGACACGAGAAAAGACTCTGCAGTGAATTTGCATGGAACTATTTTAGTCGGCGAAATAGTGAAAAAAGGACAATCCTGTCAAAACGGTAAGTCGCTTATACTCGCATCTTATTGAACTTTCGTGTATATTATAATCAATGTGAAATTTGCAATCGTGCTGATCACGAAAAACACTTTTGCTAGCAAAATTGAGATTAATAATATAGGCTAAATTAAGCAATATCACACGTGACGGGTGCAAGAATATTTTGAAATAATTGTTAATTTAGCATAATTAGGTTAAACATGATTAAATAGCCTATTATTAAATTATTAAACTCACCCTATAATAAGATTACAAACAGACTGACATTTTTATCTGACAAATTCATCTTGAATTTTAGGGGCTTTTTTTTTTTTTTTTTTTTTTTTTTTTTTTGCCATAAACAACAATTCGTTTACGACCTGTAATGAAAAAGTGAGAAATCGTGATTCGTCTGTATTACTTCAGAAAACCGCATGTGGCGCACTTGAGCATGTACGTCCAGAAGATGCGGGGAACATAAGAACAATATACAACAACAACAAAAAAATCTAGTTTTATGTGTCTAGTTAAATGAAACACTACAGGGGACCACTTGGGTTGATGTTGGGCCTTATTTAAATGAAAACGAGAAAAAAACGCTTGGTCACGCACAATATTAATGTTTAATCGCGCTCCATGGTTTTACGTTTCTTGTTTGTATATCAGATGTGAGCACCGGAGCAGTACAGCTTCTTGACAAATTTTAAGCTTATCTTCTTACAAAAAAAGTTTATTTCCATTTGGACCATGGATTATCTCAACCGGTAGTTAAATCGCTGCGGTCATTAACACCTCACCTCCTCGTTTGTTCATGTATCATGTAAATTAGGCTTTGATCTGAAATTCGGCTGGGAAAAAAAATCACCTCATTTGCATTAAAGTTTTTTTTTTTTTTAGTTGGATAGCCTTTCTTCTTAAACTTAGTTTATTTAGCATTAAATAAACAGAATGGCACGGAGGAAAGGGGAAAAGAGAAAATGACAAAGATTTAAAAAATCGCACGAGCATTTGGCAATAGTATAGCTAAATCGCAATTAAAGGAATAGTTCACCAAAAATATCAATTCTGTCATCAATAGCCTACTATATAGTGAATGGAGCCCAGTTACCAATATTCTTCAAAGTATCTTTTGTGTTCGGCAGAAGAAAGTTCATACAGGTTTGGAATAACTTGAGGGCAAGTAAATGATGATAGAGTGTTCACAACTAGGTCCCTTTCCCTATCAGGCACTCTTATGGTGACTCTAAAATTCATATTTAAATAGGCTATATATATATATATATATATATATATATATAATATTAATTTGCAAGTGATATTTTTGCTGAGATCACCACTAATGGACAGGTGGTTAGAAGCATATCTTGCTTCTATTTATTATCTGGATGACAACAAGGATCCTGGTTCAGGAAGGGATTCCTGTTTTACCAAGGTCATAAATAAGTGTTTCTTGGCTCCAATTTGGTGGAGCCAGATGGTCATTTCATCTCCCCTGGGTGGCAGTTTGCTCACCTCACGAAAATCAGAACCTGTAACAAAGGAAACTGACACACACACGCACACACAGACAGATACACTGCTTATTTAAGGTTACAGTTAGTCAAGCTCTATATCACTGAACTTTCCCAAAACATACTGATAAGATGTATGTTCTCTCAGTAAGAGGTTGACAATATTTGTCATAATTCTCTATTGAAGATGAACATAAAGTAAATGCTTTGACTGTGAATTGGTCATGTAGGAGACAGACAGGCCTGAGGGATGATCTGCTAGATGTTCCAGTGAGAAGACATGCAATTTGATAACTACTGAAGGGTTGGGGTCAGAATCCCTTGTCTCTTCAATATACATCTATATATCCTTAGTGCTTACAATATTCCTATGAAAATTACTAATCATTTGTATATATTTGATTGAACCTCACGACTTGTGGTCTTCTTCTTGCATCATACCTGGTTTTGGGTCCTGTTACCTCCTAACACTATTGTAAGAAATTGTAGTCTGCCTCGACCCAGATTCCACTCCAAAATATATTTTGGAATGAGCTCATCCCCAAAATGGCTTAATTATCATAGAGATGAAGGAAGTGAAGTTATATTGTTTCTTCATCATTTGGGTTGATCACATCATGAGCAAATGGTCATCATCTTGGGTGTGAGACACAGAGCACCTTCTCAGACAATTGGTACAATACAACTGGTGTGAGATTTTGTGTAAGGTAGAGTTGGCTTTCAACCTCCTCATGAGACTTTGATGCTCGCTCTACCAATGAAACTGCCAACTTTTTTTATTCATGGTAAACTGTAAAAGGATAAAAGGTTTGAGATTTGGATGTTGTGGGTTCGTTCTGACGCCGGTGAACCCAAGGTGCTTCTGCTATGCCATAATAAACTTAATTTTTGAGATCTTCGACATCCACGTCATTTTATCTTACTACCTAAATCTCATAACTTCATAAGCTTGAAACGTCATGTAAATCATATAATATTTAGATGGATAAATATTGATTAACACAAAAATCCTGCCCTTCAATTACATTATATTTGTTGGAAATTAAACTCTTTTTGTTTTTGACAGAACTACCCCACAGTGACCTTAATTCACACTTGGAACGAGAGGAAAGTGAGAAAATGATTGATCCAAAAACCAGTACAAAGAAACATCATGATACTGAAGAAGAAAGAGGTTGGTGTCTGTTCATGACTCCTCGTTAATAATGTTGAAGACTATTATGAGGCTAGCTCCAGGCGGCTAAGTCAGAAAATCAGTAGCATGAGGGGCATAGTAAAGCTGAGGGGGGATAGTTCATCCCAATTTTATTTTTATCATTTACTGCCCCTCAGAGTAGTGGGAGTTGAGGAGTACAGAGTGTCAAAATGCGACACTCGCTTGTGCTTGAGCACCCAGATTGCTGTCACCTTTGACCTATATCCTCTGGGGATGAAAATGACCTATGACCATTTGACTAATTGGAATGTCTATGACCTCGTGAGTATAATATATCCTTTGATTAATTTTTGAGCTTTGACATGTTATAAAAAGCAGTCCTGAGGGTTAAAAAGTTTTAGTTATAAAAATAAGTTGGTTAAAAATTAATAAATACATGTAAATATAAAAACATCTTACATTTTCAGAGCGCTGAAGTAGTTCTTTATGCAATGGTAAATGAATAAAAAAAACAGGCCTGAGTGATAGTTTTATTTAAAAATAAATAAATAAGAAAACCATTTTCATCCTTGAAGGATACCCAAGGTCAAAGGTGAAACCAATCTAGGTGCTCAAGGTCACCGCTCCATTGTTAATATATGGAGCTGTCTGAAACACTGCCAGCAAGACATTAAACAGGAAGTGTTACAACAGGCTTTGCAAGAAAAAATTTGAAAAAAAAAAACAATTCTCCCATCCCAAATATTTATTTATACCACCATGTCCATTTAGGGGCTCCATATGTTCCAAACCTGTATGAGTTTCTTTCTTCAGTTGAACACAAAAGAAGATATTTTGAAGAATGTTGGCAACCAGACTGTTGATGGTACCCACTGACATCCATTTGATTTTTTTACTACTATGGTCAATGGCTACCATTTGTTTGATAGTGCAAATCATGCTCATGTCATTAAAAATGCTCATAATCTTGCACAGCAGTTTTTGCATAACATACCATCCAGATTTAATATTGTTAACATCATAGATATCCATAATAAAGGCTAGATGTCTTACGATGGAGTCTCTATCGTCATCACCGGCGGCCATCTTGTCACAGGCAAGCTGATGTAAGATGAGTGATCAGCACAAACAAAAATACTCTCATCTCGTTGAAATCTTGACGGATTTCCAAACGGTTTGGTTTCTTACAAACGTTATTAACGTGCCTATAATTCTGGATGATTCTTTTTTTATACACTTATTATTCATAAGTATGCAGTGTCATAGCTACATCTCTGATGTTTAGAACAAACCAAACCATTTGAAAATTGGTAGAAAATTTAGCAAGTTATGGTTATTTAAAAAGTACATGCACCATTAAAACACAATGTTATGAGTGAGCCAGCTGCCTGTGACAAGATGGCCGCCAGGTACAGACGTCGACCTCCATTGGCCAGTAGCGCGGACGAGACATCTAGCCTTTATTATGGATCTAATAGTATCTAGCCTCTAATGGATCTAGCCTTTACTATTGTTAACATGGCAAACCTTTAAAGGGATAGTTCACCCGAAAATGAAAATTATTTACTCACCCTCATGTCGTTCCAGACCCGTAAAACTTTTGTTCATCATTCAGATTGAGATATATTAATGTAATCTGAGAGCTTTCTGTCCCTCTATTGACATAACAGCTACTCAACTACCACTTTACGCTTCAAAAAGTTCAGAACAAGATCGTAAAACTAATCCAAAGGTATTGATTGAACTTTATATTAAATTTTAATTCACATTTTTTGTATAGCGCTTTGTACATATCGTTTCAAAGCTGGTTTACAGAAAATATAAGTCTACATTACAATCTAGAGTGATCTGTTATCAGAGGTGACCGTGTGTCCAAGTAATAGATCGCATTTACAAATCACGCAGTTAGTTAAAGGGATAGTTCACTTTGAAATTCATTTGTGATATGTTTTAGCTTACCTCAAGGGCATCCAAGATGTGGGTGTCTTTGTTTCCACAGTATGTTGATATTTTTAGGTCAAACCGTTCTTGTTTGTCAGTCATATAATGGAGGTCTATGGTCACCACCTCAAAGAGCATGCACAGAGAAGTCCAAATTAAACATGATTTAATGACTCGTAAATGTGAGTACACATTGATGGCCTAAGACACGAAACGAGCGGTTTGTGTGAGAAAACGAACAGTATTTATTTCGTTTTTACCTCTTGTAATCACAGCCACGTCCAAGTGATCTGAAGGCATGGGATGCTTCGGTCTGTTCATCATATAAAGCGATGGTGTCTCTTCAGAAAATTTGGCAAAACCAGCCACTCAATTTATATGGATTAGCTTTACGATCTATTTATGAACTTTTTGAAGCGTCAGAGTGGTAGTTGCGTAGCTGTCAATGGAGGGACAGAAAGCTCTCAGATTGTCATTTTTGTTCGGAAGATGTTAGAGGTTTGGAACGACATGACGGTGAGTAATTGATTACATAATTTTCACATTTGGGTGAACTATCCCTTTAAAATAAAGATCTAAACTTTTGGGTTCAATTTTTATTTGTTTAAGTTTTTATTATTTTTTTTAGATCTGATGTACGTGAACAAGAAAGGAAAAACGCAAGCCCAAAAATCTGCCAACTGCTCTCAGTGTAAAAAAAGTTTCACAAGTGAAGCACACCTTAAGATTCACATGGGAGTTCATAATGGAGAGAAGCGGAAACCAAAAAAAACGAAGATTCCCACCTGTCACCAATGTGGGAAGAGGTTTACACGAAAAGACAGCGTTCAGAAACACATGATGGTTCATACCAAAGAGAGGCCGCACGCATGTGATCAGTGTGGGAAGACTTTCTCATTAAAACAAAGCCTTGTGTCACACATCAAAACCCACAATAGAGAGAAACCGCACACATGTGATAAATGCGGGACGAGTTTCGCACGCAAAAGAGAACTAGTGAAACATGTGAGAACCCACACTGGATATAAGCCACACGCATGCGACCAATGTGAAAAGAGTTACACACGACAAGACCACCTCACGAGACACATGAAAATCCACACTGGAGAGAGGCCGCACACATGTGATCTATGTGGAATGAGTTTCATGCTAAAACAAGATATTAAAAGCCACATGCTAATTCACACTGGAGAGAAGCCACACGCATGTGACCAATGTGGAAAGAGTTATGCTCTCCTACAAACTCTAAAACGACACATGCTAGTCCACACTGGAGAGAGGCCACACACATGTGATCAATGTGGGAAGGGTTTTATGACCACATCAGACCTAAGGAATCACATGAGAATCCACACCGGAGAGAAGCCGCACACATGTGATCAGTGCGGGAAGAGTTATGCACAACGTAGCAACCTCACGACGCACATGAAAATCCACTCCGGAGAGAAGCCACACACGTGTGATCAATGCTGGAAGAGTTTCACTCATGCAAACACTTTAAAATTACATATGCATACTCATTCTGTAGACGGGCCATTTCACTGTGATCAGTGCGATAAGAGTTTTGGTTTGGAGTCAGTCCTGAGGATACACCAGAAAATTCATGGTAAGGAGAAACTTCATTCGTGTATTGAGTGTGGAAAGAGTTTTAGGTACCTGGCCGTTTTAACAGCACACCTGAAAAGACACAACTCTGCGAAGCCGTATACGTGTTTTGAGTGTGGGAAGATGTTTTATACAAGCTCCGAACATAGTCAGCACCAGTTGACTCACAAAGCTTTCAAATGTTCACACTGTGGCAAGAGATTCTCTGTGTTGGAAAAGATGAAAAAGCACGAGATGATCCACTCTGGAGAGAAGCCAGATCATCAGTAAGTGATCTTCTCTATACACAGTCCTACAAAATAAAGAACCACGGTAAAGTGGTCCATTATAAATCTGTCCTAGCGAGCGACAACAAATGAGAGGGCAAAGAAATGACATCTAACGTTCATCTCAATCTCAAAGTTCAATATGAGCTTCGTATACGGAGTTCGGAGTTTCTTCCAGAAGAACAATTTCTAAGCTTTATTTTCAAGTCTTTATCATTTCTTATGACATTTTATCATTCCACTATGTTACTATGTACAAAATGTTCTTTGGTTTGCCTGTATAGAAGCAGACGAAATGGCTAGGTAACACTTTTAGAGACATGTATCTGACATTTATTCTTAACTTGATTGTTTTTATTGCGCTTGCTTTAAAACATCTTGCTATTTTACTACTTGTGACATTGAATGTTCTGATGCTAGATATACTGTAATGGACGTTATTGTAGTTTTTGCTTCAAGTAATCAATGATTAAACTCATGAATCTTTTTATCTGACTTTTATTGTCCATTTCATTGCTTGCTTATTCTACTTGAAAATAAATTATTTCATCATTTTAGTCAGGGGAATGAATTGTGTCAATGTGCAGCAGATGCCTGCACCAACTTTTATCTTTAAAGAGCCTAAAGTCCCTCATATACACTCACCTAAAAGACTATCAGGAACACCATACTAACAGTGAGTTTGACCCCCTTTCGCCTTCAGAACTGCCTTAATTCTACATGGCATTGATTCAACAAGCATTCTTTAGAAATGTTGGACCATATTGATAGGATAGCATCTTGCAGTTGATGGAGATTTGTGGGATGCACATTCAGGGCACGAAGCTCCCGTACCACCACATCCCAAAGATGCTCTATTGGGTTGAGATCTGGTGACTGTGGGGCCATTTTAGTACAGTGAACTCATTGTCATGTTCGAGAAACCAATTTGAAATGATTCAAGCTTTGTGACATGGTGCATTATCCTGCTGGAAGTAGCCATCAGAGGATGGGTACATGGTGGCCATAAAGGGATGGACATGGTCAGAAACAATGCTCAGGTGGGCTGTGGCATTTAAACAATGCCCAATTGGCACTAAGGGGGCCTAAAGTGTGCCAAGAAGACATCCCCCACACCATTACACCACCACTACCAGCCTGCACAGTGGTAACAAGGCATGATGGATCCATGTTCTCATTCTATTTACGCCAATTTCTGACCATCTGAATGTCTCAACAGAAATCGAGACTCATTAGACCAGGCAACATTTTTCCAGTCTTCAACTGTCCAATTTTGGTGAGATCCTGCAAATTATAGCCTCTTTTTCCTATTTGTAGTGGAGTTGAGTGGTGCCCGGTGGGCAGAGCCATATATTGAGAGAGTTGCGACACGCTTTGATGTCGCCGCAAGGCTGTCACGTGGTTCATGGAACAGACGCGGGCTGTCATGTTCTTCAATGGACAGACAACAGCGATCGCATTATTAAACGGTAAATTTTAAGTCCTGCATGTTGTGTGGTGTATTATTTATAATAATAATAATAATATCTAAATCATATATAGCCTTTATATATTATTGCATTTTGTAATATATTATACATAAATATTTAATGGAAAATATTATAAATATTATTATAATGTATTATAAATATTAATATATATAGTATACAGTATGACACTGTTAATGTTGCAAGAACAATATTTTTTTTTAATATAAATGTAATTCTTTAAGTTTTATTCTATGGCTTTGTTTTTGAGTTAACGGACCAAAATAAAAATTAGGGTTTACAAAGAGTCCATATTTCCGGTAACACTTTACAATAAGGTGTCATTTACTAACATGAACTAACCATGAGCAAATACATTTGTTACAATATTTATTAATCTTTTTTAATAGTAGTTAATAAAAATACAGCTGTTCATTGTTTGTTCATGTGCATTCACAGTGCATTAACTAATGTTAACAAATACAAAATTTGATTTTGATAATGTATAAATAAATGTGTAAATTAATATTAACAAAGATGAATACATGCTGTAGAGGTGCATTTCATTAGTTCATGTTAACTAATGAAACCATATTGTAAAGTTTTGTGCACATATAATATTTCCCAGTAATATTATTAACTACAATACAATGGCACTTTTATATTTAAGAATAAACTTGTATCTCTGTTTCAAGCATTGTTTTTGATGACATCACGATCTGACGTTGTTCCATTTAAAATGTTATTTTGAAAAGTAGTTTTCTGGATAGATTGATAGAGTTCAGTGGCCAAAAGAACAGAATGTTTATAGAATACCATTTTTTAAAACCTCATCCTCCTCTCACTCCATCACAGAAGGTGGCAGTATGAACCTGTGTTGAGCCTCCAGTGAGCCCACAGAAGAATACCGACAGTAAACAGGAAAACGCATTGACAGTTGAATCCTGCAATTTTTCTGCACAGTACTTTTCTTCCCAAATAGTCTTATGTGATGTAATATTATTAAAGGACTCCTAGGACTAATAATACACTTTTTAAGAACACATTATACTGTTAAAGTTCACATCCAGGTGTGATGGCAGAGCGAGGAGCGCATTTGACCACAGCGGCTCCCGCTGAAGACAGGCCGTCTGTGTTTGAGGTGTTAGCGCAGGACTCATTGATGGCCGCTGTCAAACCTGCATTACTGCATGCTGTCAAGGTATACTTGCGATTAAAACACCGTGTACTGCATTTGCAACCGTTTTACAAACATTGATACCTGACATTATGATGACGGTGGGTGTGTAGCATCTAAACATCTATCATTGGCTCGTGCTTAAAGTAAACAACCGATATATTTTCAAGTTGTTTACATTAAGAACTTGGGCTAAATTGTGTGGCCAAATTGAATACTTGAAGTATATAATATTAATATTGTGTGTACTACATAATATAAACCTCTAGTATACGGTAGTATAAGTTCTGGGACTTAATTCAGCTTATTTGAATATCAAAACCTATATTGTCCATGATTTGCAGCATAAAAAACACTGTGCTTGTAACCTGTATCCCACAATGCAGTGCGTTCAACTTGACCTTTCATTTCCAGTGTGAACTACATGTATAATAAACTGTTCATTATCTGATTGGACAGCCTGAAGCATTTTACACAAAACTGAATATTTAAACACAAAATAACGATTTTATTTTGTGAAATTTGCCACAGGTCAGGGGTTTTCAATCTTTTAGATGCCACACAGACCCCCAATTATGGTATTCTCCATGCCAGGGACCCCCATGATATGATTGAAAATGCATCTATAGGCATATAGTTTCTTGTATAAAGACCCAATTTACATACTGTAAAAAAATAAATAAAATAGTATTATAAATGTCTAAAAAATGTTTTAGAAAATATTTAGTTTCAACTCATAGTTCTTTACGATTAGATGTATTATTTATTTACTCATTTATTTTAATCTAAATTTTATTTTAATTTATTGTATTTAAGGTTATTACAGTTTTTCTTTAAATGTTTCCGTGCAAAACAGTCATAGGATAGTCCTTTTTGATTCACTAAGTGTTGCAAGCATACCTCTTGTGTTACATATTCAAAAAAAGTATAAAACTGTACTTTACAGTACCTGTGCTGGCATTGAATGCTCCTGATGTAAAAACCCTGCCATTGTCCACAGATCCTTGCTACATCCAACCCTGCTCGCTATGGATTTCTATGGAGGAGGTTTGATGAGATTTATGCTATCCTGGATATGTTATTGCAGCATCATTTCCTTTCCCGCACCAGCGCCTCATTCTCAGAGAACTTCTATGGCCTGAAGCGTGTAGGAGCAGACGGGACACGTGCTGCCCATCTAGGGCTCCTGCGCAGACAGCACTGGCGCTCCTTGCTTCTCCTGGCCCTCCTTCCTTACCTGCACACCAAACTGGACAAAGTCCTGGCTCGACAGAGAGACGAAGACGATTTCTCGATCCGCTTGCCACAGTCCTTCATGCAGAAGTTGTACAGGGCTTTTTTAGCTGCATACCCCTTTGTGTGCATGGCCTGGGATGGCTGGGTCTTTTGCCAACAGCTTTTGTATGTTTTTGGCAAAACACGGACACATTCTCCACTTCTGTGGCTGGCAGGGGTTAAACTTTCATATCTCACAGCTAATGACATCCACAGCCTGGATCTCAAGCCATCAGGCCTGGCACTGAGCCCCAGCCAAAGGTGAGTTTATTATGTGTTCATTTTGAGTTTATTTTTCTATTTTGGCTGGGTAATATTGACGCTCATTGCGATTTATTGGATCGCAGGCGTGCTACAATTTTCTGTTCATTCATCATGAGAACAGCATAGATTAAAAAGATCAATTCATTGGATTTAAGAATCAAAACTTTAAAAAAACATTTTTTGACATTGACATTTTTTTGAGGTTTACTAAATTATAAAGATGCTTAATCATAACAATACCTTGATTTTCAGCTTTGTTGAGAAATGTCAGCGTCTGGCTTCTACAGCAGTTGGTGGTGTGGCTGTATCTCTTTCAACCAGCCTTTCGATGGGAGTGTTTTTCCTGCAGTTCCTGGAGTGGTGGTATTCATCCGAGAACCAGAGCACGATTAAGTCCTTGACGTCCCTTCCGACCCCTCCGCCACCTATCCACCTTCACAGCCAGGAGACGTCACTCACACACATCAAAGTCTGCCCGCTCTGCAGGAAAGTGCGCACCAATGACACTGCCCTCGCCACTTCAGGCTACGTGTTTTGTTACAAGTGTATATATGTGTATGTTAAAGCCAACCTGAGGTGTCCCCTCACAGGCTACCCTTCAGGACTGCAGCACCTCATTAAAATATATTCACCTGACGGATAGCCTGCTCAAATGTGGAAAAAAAATACAAAAATGTTTTTCATGATGCCTTAATGCTATTTTGTCCAATTTTACAATTATTGCACATTGTTAAAGTGAAGCTTTTGCTAATTGTTATCCCAGGGAAGACTAAAAATGTCAAATTAAGTTTTATAATGTGGTTATTATGGACTACTAATTTCTGAAATGTGTAAATATTAAATTTTTCAACTCATGGTTTTGCATTCCACTGCACTATTCCATTGTTTTTCCCATGTCAACAAAGTTCCCATCATCTGGACAGTTTTCAAAAGCTGAAGTAGGTTTGCATGGTTAATTCAAGTTCAACTTTCAATATGTCTAGACCTTGCACTTTTAATTTCTTCTGCCATGTATCATTTACAAATTTTTGAATGTCTTGAGTGGCATGCACTACGAGCACAACGATCAAAAACATCCATCTAATGAATGTTTAGATAGGAAAGCAATGGAAAAATAGTTCAGTAGAACACACACACAAAAAAAACACTGTTCTGTGAGAGCAGCCCTTTAGGTTGCAAAATCAAACGTCAAGGCATGAATAGTGTATTTTAAGATTTAATAGATAATCGGTTTTAACATCTCAAGTG